TTTAAGACTGTTTTTCAAATAATTTATCTAATTTCTTGTAAACTTTGTCGTTGTTGAAAGCATCTCACTTGAATTTGGTTATAATCAATACTACTCAGCAGTTTCTCAATTGTTTGACACCATTTGCATTGTAGTACAAGTACAGACATTGACAAACTTAACACTGTATCATGATAGCTTTCACTCAAATAGTTGCAAAAACCGTGACACTACAATTTTGGAAACACAACAATTTGTCTGATATATACATTGTTTTCTTGAGTCCTATGGAATTTCTATGCATACGTTATATATTTGTTTCTTTCTAGAAGAAAGACAAGATGAGATGGGGGGAGGAGATGCTGACTCTCAGCCGGATCCACATGCCAATAAACCTGAAATTCTAAAAGCCAAAGAATTTGACAATTTATCAAGAATGTGTCTTCAGCAAGGGAAGTAAGTGAATTTATCACCTTTGTTATTAGATGCATGCAGAGAAAGGTCTGAGGCAAAGAATGTCTGTCTTTGTTGTCGTCTACATCATAAACTTCATTTCTTGTGATTACAATCTTTTTCAATCTTGGATATGTTATTTATTAGTTGGGATCGCGACCATGTTTGATTTTGGCTTGTATATATGTATGGGTATATGTATATTTTTCAAATGTTACTTAAAATTGTCATAATCTTGTGGTTGTGGTCAAAAATTGTTTTGATAATTTTCAAACTTCTATCACTATAAAATGTCAACCAAGTTCTATTTTTGAGTAAATAGCAAGTATAATTTTCAAGATATGTATGAAAATTGGACTATAATAGAATGAAGACATTATGAGATCCAGATTTTGGTAATATATGCACCAAGATCTGTTACTCATATAGTGCAGTAATCGAATATGTTGAAAATAAATATTTTTTTCTGCTAAAACAGACAGGAAGTCACAGCAACTTCACTGGAGATTTTAAGACAGTGACTTTCATTGGGGTTCTAGGGAGTCACAGTAACTTTCACTGGGGTCGCAGGGAGTCACAGTCACAGTCACTTTCTCTGGGGTTCCAGGGAGTCACAATGACTTTTTCTGGGGTCCTAGGGAGTCACAGTGACTTTTTCTGGGGTCCAAGGGAGTCACAGTGACTTTCTCTGGGGTCCCAGGGAGTCACATGACTTTCTCTGGGATCCCAGGGAGTCACAGTGACTATTTCTGTTGTTCAAATGAGTCGCAGTGACTTTCTCTGGGTTCCCAGGGAGTCGCACTGACTTTCACTGGATTTGTTGATTGATGTTCTGAAATCATCAAATTGCACTGATTACAACAGCAAGTGTCATTTGTTGAATAAACAAATGATGCGATGGAATAGAAACCAATCATACACAAATGTCAGTGATATTTGCAGTAATTTAAAATATATTTTTTATGTTTTTTTTGCATAGCACCCAACTTGCTCTGGAATATTGCGGAAAGGTAAACACGAATAATCATTATTTTATCGACAATATTTATTGAAAAATCACTCACTGCTATTAAAATAGTAGAAAGAGAATAGATAATTATCACATACTGCATTATCACAAAGTACTTACGGTACTCTGGAATGTTTGTACAATACAGTAGATGTATGTTATAATAATAGACATCCACTCCTATGCTTTCTGGCCTTGTTAGGAATTTTTATTTCTCTCTATTTGAGGAATCAGACCAAATAATTGACTTGCATTCCAATGCAAAAAAATTATCATTAAAACATGTCAGTTTCTCTTGCAACATTAGAATATTCCTGGGAACATTGCCAGTAGTTTTTTGTTACAACTTGAATACTTTTAATTGTGCCTAAGCTTACTGCATTGGGATGATATGATATGTTTGTTTGCAGGCAACTAAGATACGTCAAGCCGTGTACGGTGAAAATCATCCAGAGACAATAAAGAGTTTAGATTTATTTACTGTTATCTATGCAGATGTAGGAAAGAAACAATATGCAGGTAATCTACTGCATAAATAATATGTCAATAATATATCAGAATTCCAACATGGTCATCACTGACTTCTACTGAATCGTGTTGCCAAAGTGGGAATTGCAAGAAATATTTCAGAACAAGGATAAATTATATATATTTTCAATCTGATAAATATAAATAAAAAATAAAAAGGTCTTTGTGAAGTCTTGCAAAAATTAATATCCAATGAGAAGCAGATGTGATTGGCAACATTCGAACACGCTGCCTGAATGCCATGTTTTCCACACATTTATGACCTCTTTGGATCTGTAATAATGCAGCTGCAAACACTAAAAATCTACTATAATCATGACATTTATCTAGATGCAATGAAAAAGTTTGGCATTGGAGAATCTGAAGACAAGGAGGACAGTAAAGTGACTGGAAATAAAGGCAGTGAGGAAAGTGGATTAAGATACAGGTAAGTTATATCAGTATATTAAGATAAATTGTCTGTTGTTCAAGTAGATACTTGAGTAGAACTATTCTGTAAAGTGAACAAAGTAATTAAATTTACTTTTCTTATTATTCATTTCTACTATAATAAGACCAACAGCAGTGTTCTTAAATATATTTTACTTGTGCTAAATATGTCTTGTTGCATGCACAGCTTTATTACTCTTCCTAGTTATATTAATTGATATGTGTAATTTGTAAGCAGGGGTTCTCAACATAAAACTGAAGACTCTGAAGTAAGGCAGGATAATGATAGTGTTCCTCAAGAAGAATATGAACCAACCAGTCCTGAACAAGAACGTGCAGGTACCTTTTTGAATTGTAACTGATCTTAAACACAGCCATCTTTTATCTACTAAACACAGACTAATGTTAGACCATTTTCTGTTACTGCACTGAATTCATTAGAAAACTGTCTGAACTACATATAGTT